CAATTTTAATATTTAATAACTCGAAAAATCATTGCGAATATCGCAAAATGGTATAAGACATTTTCGTTTATTTCGTTTTCGCCCTCGTTCTACCTTCTCACGAGCAATGTTACACATGTTGCGAGACATCCTGTATAATAATATAATATATATAATTATATACATATATTATACATTATAAATATTTACAAGTATAACGCAGAATAAATATATGTATGAGAAAACGGAAAAGATAATGATATTATTTATCATCAAAAATATACATCAACGTTGAAATGCTTATAATTTTTCAAAATTATTGAAATTGTTGAAATTATTAAAATTATCTTTCTATTCAATTCTTTATAAAGAAGTAGATAATAACATTATAGGTGCCTGAATATTTCTTTGTCAAATATAATAATTGATGGTTTTGAAAAAAAATCATTTATATATTATTGAAAACAACTTAAATTAATTATTTTCGCATCTTTTTGATTAATTACTAATTGCAATTTATTTTTGGAAAATGTTACGTATATTTTCAAGTAATCTTTTCAGATGTTTTTAAAGCTTTCTTAATTATATTTCATGTCGCGAAATATAATATTATATTAAGATATAGATAAGATTATGCGTATTTTTACGTTTCATAAAAGTTTGTTTTTCTTATTTCATTTTTAGATAAATGTGTAGATAGTGTACAGAAATAATTAATTGATTCGTTATTCTCATTGTTTTATCAGCAAAATTTTTGACAAGATAAAAGAATGCTGCATGTTTTGATGTAACGCTTTGCGACAATCGCGGCAATTTCCTCCGCGCTCTTTCTTTCTTGCATCTCTCACTAGCATGACAGAGGAATATCAACATGGAAAACAAAATACATTCGCTAATATCGGTATTCATTTATTCTAATGTCTCTTCTGATTTTTTTCTGACAATCAATTATTCTTGTGCAACTATGGCTGAAACATTGGATATAGTTCATTGTGGCTGCATTATTGTGGAATGTGAAAGTGTGCGTGAAATTGCACGTCGCATTCCATGCAGTGAGACAAATGTGCGTAAATGGATTAAGCGATGGCAAGAGGATGGAACGGAAGGATTAAAAGATAAGCTGGCACACAATCGTAGTTCGCGATTGACAAATAAGATATAACTTTAATCAATCAGGTAGATCTTGATCCTTCCAGTATCTCATTCCGTAAATCAAGATCCGTAAATTAAATTTACGAATATCTAAGTGAACAGCGCAAAGGCGTTTACACAAAGCGAACATTGCTTACGCAAAGCGAAGTGCATTGTTGTCGTGCTGTACGAAAAATTTCTCTAACGAGAAAACATCGCGATGATCATGTTGCCTTTGCGCTGCACCAATTAAATACCGTAACACTTGAAGATTACAGGACTGATGAGAAGGTATTTTGTTCGGCGCATGATCGACGATTACGAATGTGGAAACCTGAAGACCATCGTTTTAATCCTAAATACGTAATTCCTCACGAGCGAAGTGGGCGCATCACTTGTGCTATGTGGGGATGGATAAGTGCACATTGTCCGAGAGAATTTAAGTGTCGCCACATAAGGATGTTTTCGAATATATTCTGGAAAACGTGTTGCTCCCTAGCGTTCGAAGAATATATATCGAAGAAGATATGTCAACATTTCGACTAGTTCAAGTCTATAGCGCTATGTACAGTAAAAGACTGGTTTACCCAACATCCAGAAATTGATGTTCTCGACTAGCCAACCAAATCTCCGGATCGCAATTTAATAGAAAATGTTTGGGCAATAATTGCAAATTCGTGGGATTTTAGAAATGAAAAAACGAAAGAGCGTCTAGTTGCGTATGCGAGGAACATATGGGAAAATTTAAGGTGTAAGCCTGAATTTTTCGCACATCTAAACGGTTCGGTAACAGGTTATAACAAGTAATTGCACAAAAAGGATACTGGATTAGGTACTGAATCCCAGTATCATTTAAACAGTTCTTTTCAGAACCATTAAATGGTTCTTTTCAGAACCACTAAATTGTTTGACAAAGGAACATACTTAACACAATTATATATAATTTTATTATAGACAAAAGGAAAAATTCTGAAAAACGAATAATTCAACATTAATAAATGATCCATCTCTTTATCTTTCCTCTTCATATTCATTTATTCTACATAACTGTAAGTATATATTAGGTGTACAAAAAAGTTCTGAGCCTTTTTTTGTAAAATTCAATCTTGATTCAAAAACAAACAAAAAAATATTAATCAGCGAAATATTCCTCGTTTGCATCAACGACCTTTTGTCATCTTTCGGGTAGCTTGCGAATTCTTGACGATAGAAGCTCACCGACTTCGAAGCGATAAAGTCATCAATGCATTTTCGTATCTCTTCAAATTTCACGAAATGTGTATCAGCCAAATGATGCTGCAGCGACCGGAATAGGTAGTGTGGCGGCTTGGTGTTGGAGGAGCGTTGTCCACGATATGAAGA